ATAGCATCAGACTGTTAATTCTGTGTTACTGTGGATACATTTTCTCTTTTTCATCTGTGTTATCTATTTTCTAAAGATACAGTGACCTTTATCATGATATTTGCTTTTCTTTGCTGATTGTATCTCTTGCAACAGTTTCTGTAACTGTCTTTCCTTTGTTGAAGAGGTTTGTCTAAACTGTTTCAAATCCTGTCACAGGTCTCAGAAGTTCTGTGCCTAAGAATATACTCATTACCACCTCACCCATTGGTCAGATAAACATTCTATGTTTTAAGTTGTTCTCTTTACCATGTTAAAATGTTACTTTGTTGTCAGTGTGCATCCACTGTTGCAGTTGAAGAATCCAAGGAAACAAGATTTTTGCCTTTTCAAATAATCAATGGATTTCTCAAAATGTGGTGTTAAGGCAGGTGTTGAGAATTTAAAGTTAGCTTGGGGTGCACAGTGAGACCCTGTCTTAAAAAACATACAAACGAACAAACAAAAATAAATAAAAATGTAAAAGACAGGATCCAATCTTTTCACTGCTTCCTCTGGCCACATTAGCCTTGGACTTGAGTCAGCCTGGAGCCAACCTTGAGACAAGACTCAGGTGGGAGCCAGCAGCATATGCTCTAGGGTTTCTGTCTTGAGGGACAAGGGCTGGGCTTTTATCTTTTAGCTATTGCCATGGATCACTGGCGCTTGGAGGAGAGTCCCATCTTGTTCTGATCTGCAGCAGAGCTGGCAGAGCTAGCAAAGAGAGGCAGGTGACCTGCCTAGCTGCACTAAGGTGGTAAAGGGTGACTGTGTAAGGGGTGGAGAGGTCTCTCCTGGGTAATCTACTTCAGACAGACAATACCCCTTAAGCCATCAAAGCACGTGGCTTACAAGAGCTTAACTTAAGTGCACAGGATGGATCAGCTGGTCAAGGAACTTGCTGTCCAAGTGTGGTAACTCTGAATTTGATACCTGGAACCTACATAAAGATGGAGGGAGGGAACGAGCTTTTGGCCTCCAAACACGCACCAGTTGCACATGTGAGTTTACACATACAGGCACACACATACACACACATGCACATAATCATATACACACATACACAATAACAATAAATAAACAAATAAATAAGTAAGTAAATAAGCCTGACTCTATATTTGACATGGAGGGTTCTGAGTTGGTTCCTGTGACTGTCAGTGGGATTTTTGCAACTTGAGCTCCAGCAGTCAAAAGGTGAACTCAAAAGGGAGGCTGCATTGGGATGAGAGGAGTCTCTTAGGTCCATACAGAGTTGACTGTGGTTCTGATGACCAGTGGTTCTCATCAAATCTCAGCCTGACTGAAGTATCAGAAATACTGAGGGAACTGTAGAAAACATAGGCTTTTTGTTTCTTGGTTTTATTTTGGTTTTTGGTTTTTTGAGACAGGGTCTCTTTGTAGCCCCAGCTGGCCTGGAACTTGCTATGTAGACCAAGCTGGGATCGATCTCACCAAGATCTGCCTGCCTCCGCCTCCCAAGTGCTGGGATTAAAGGCATGTGCCTGGCTCTTTTTTAAAAAAAATTTTTTTGGCAGGGGTAGGGAAAGTCTTGTGTAGCCCAGGCTGGTCTTGAATTCACTGTGTAGCCAAGGATGATGAACTCCTGATCTTCCTGCATCTACTTCCTGAGTGCTGGGACTATAGGCGTGGGTCACTGCTTAAACATGAAAACCAGTGGCCTTCCCTTATCATTGGGGGAAGTGCTATTAAAGCATTCACAAAGGATTATTTATGTACTCTTTGAACAGGGAAAACTAAGATCACAGCTTCGCCTGGCATGGGGAGGACAAGACAGATGCTCTCAATGTTAACAGTGGGGTGGACCTCCATCCACCTGCTCTGTCCCTCAGGATGAGACACTGGAGCATAGGCAGCTAGCTCCCAGAGTTCCCTAGTGAGTCAGGCAGTGGGAACCATGAGCCATGGCCAGGTACATCTGATGTGTGGACTATAGGCCAAAAGTCCATGCCAGCACATGATTTAAATGTAAATAAATAAAAATGCCCCATTTATGTTTGTGGTGGTGAGAATCTGGAAACAACCTAAATCCTGTTGTTAGAATGGATAAATTCTTATCTTCCTCCCTCCCTCTGTCCTTGGTCCCTCTCTCCCTCCCTTCCTTTCTTCTTTCCTTCCCTTTTCTTCCTGCCTTCTCTCTTTTTTTCAGACACAGTCTCTCTGTAGCCCCAGCTGGCCCAGAACTCACTATGTAGACCAGGCTGGCCTCAATCTCACAGATCTATGCCTGCTTCTGCCTTTCTAGGCTGTGATTAAGGGCACTGCTACCATGTTCAGTTCATTTTTTCTTTTTTTGAGACAAGGTCATGTTATGTAGCTCTAGCAACTTACTATGTAGTCCAGGCTGCCCTCAGATTCACAGCAATCCTCCTATCTCAGCCTCCCAAGTGCTCGGTTTAGAGGTATATATCTCAGTGCCTGGCATAGATAAACTCCTTTTGTCATCCCCATGAAAGATGGATTTTTTTTTGAGACAGGGTCTCACTGTATAGCCCTGGCTAGCCTGGAAATAGCTTTGTAGGCCAAGCAAACTTCAAACTCATAGAGATCCACCTGCCTCTGCCTCTTAAGTGCTTTGATTACAGGTATGTGCCCCTCACACTAGACAATGGAATATTATGACCCTGGGATGATGGTTGAATTCCCTTGACTTTGAAGGTCTGATGCCTGGTAGGCACAGACATTCATGGCAGTGGGGACAAGTACCTTCCCTGGGGGCTATGGTCAGTTTTTTTCTTTTTTAACTGTCTGAGGCTCAACAAGAAGTGTGTTTACCTTGGGTGGGTGATATCTCTGGGTTCATCAGGGGTGCCACGGTACTCCTGAAGGTTGTGAAATTCAGTATCCTCGCCTGGAGCCTGTGTACTATGGCCTATTGCCAGAGTGATGTATGTGGCAAGGCACAGACTTGCTCTGGCTTCAGTACTGAAGGATGTCCTGGGGGAAAGCTCTGGAGGGCCTGGTTGATATGTGGCACCTGTCTTCCTTTTGGTTAGTCTCTAAATATTCCTCAGCTACCCAAACTGAGTTTGACTGTTCAGCAGGGTAAGGTTCCTTGGCTCAGTTGTGATGCAATCTGGGCTTGGGCCAGGGACCTGGGGTCTGAGATAGAGGTTGGGTAACTGCTCACTGTTACCCCTCTCTAATCTCTTCTTGCAACACTGAGTATGGAGCAGAGGTGAACTTTGGTGGGGCCCTGAGGAATCTAAACTGAATGTGGTAACACATGCCTGTAACCCCAGAACCAGGAGGCAGAGGCAGGAGGATTACTGCAGGTACAAGGCAGCCTGTTCTACATAGTAAGTTTCAGGGAAATCCAAGCTACAAAGTGATACCCTGTCTCAAAAAGGAAGGGGTGCTGGAGAGATGGATCAGCAGTTAAGAGAACTAGCTGCTCTTGAAGAGGACCTGGGTTCAGTTCCCAGCATCCACATTAGGTGGCTCACAGCTACCTATAACTTCAGTTCCAGAGGATCTGATGCCATCTCCTAGCCTCTGAGGGGACCTGTAGGCACATGATGCAGATACATATATTCAGGTACACATGCATACACATAAAATTTTAAAAAATGTTTTAAAAAAGAATACTTTCCTGGAAGGGGTGATACTATGATCACAAAGGTGGTTTTTCCAAGGTGAGGCTTATCCATTGTATTCTGGATGTGCTGACGTCTGCTGTTTCCCCAAATGTGGGAAACTTGGCTGCATAATTTGTGGTAGTGAGGGGACTATGTTTTTGCTTTTCCCTGGGGAAAAAAGGAATCCAGCCCTTGGACATACAATTTATGACACACATGGATCCTGAAGCTGGGGCATGTGAGGGGTCTTGAGTTTCTGCCTGGGGTGAGATGTGACAGAGCAATGTCCCACCATCTTTAAAAAAGTACATATTGGTGAGAACTCAGTTTGGGGAGTTTCACTCTTCACCAGGCATTGAACAGGAATCTCAGAGAGAGATTCCAGAGATAAGCATTAAAATAACAACACGGGGCCTGGAGAGATGACTCAGTGGTTAAGAGTACTGACTGCTCTTGCAGAAGACCCAGGTTTGAATCCCAGCACCCACACGGCAGCTAACAACTATCTATAATTCTAGTTCCAGGGGATCCGATGCCCTCTTCTGTCCTCTTGTACAGTGTATGGTATTACATGACACGGGTACACTTACATACATGCAGGCACTGCATTCGCATAAAATAAACATAAAAAGTAAAAAAATAAAATACTTTTAAGAATAACAACAACAACACTTCCCAGGTCCCAAGACATGGTGGCACATCCTAGCAATCCCATCACTTGAGGCAGAGGATGACCTAGAGTTCAAGGGCAGCCTGGGCTACATAGCAAGACTCCGTTTCAGAAATAAACACACCTCCCAAATCCATCTGATTGTTTTCTGAGGACTCCCAGCCCTCTGTAGCCCCTTTCCCTGAGAGCTTTCATGCCTTTGTGATACTGAGGACTAACCAGCAGTCTGTCCACTCAGCTTAGGGGACCAAGAAAGGACTCAGGCCATGGCTCACACATGAAAATTTATTCCCTCAGTCTCTGAGGCTGGAGATAGATACACAGGCAGGACTGGGCTCCCCCTGGGGGCATAAGTCCACAGATACTATCTTCTCCCAGTGTCCTCATGCTGATATACCTTTGCTTCTCCTGAGTCCAGTCAGTCTGGGTCTACCCTAATGACCCCACTTTTCTTTCATCACCAAATGGGAGCCCCTATGTTTAAAATCATGTTATGAGGTCCTGGGTGAATTTGGAGTAAATTTAACTCACAGTAGGGTCCCACGCCTAACTGAACCCAGAGACTCCCTCACCTAGTGGGGGCATCAAGAGACCTACTATTCTTTGTCTCATGCTTCCATCTCCCAATATCCTTTTTAATTTTTAAATAAGTTGAGAATTTCATACATGTATATAAGGTGTTTGATCAAATCCATGCCCACTCCCTCCCCTCTAAACTCCTCCCATATCTCCCCATCCCTTTTTTTTTGATAACTTCATGTACTCGTTCTTTTCCTTTATTTATTTTTGTGGAGCTTTTGGCTACTCTAACATTCACCCCTCTGAAGAGGTAACCCTAAAATCTAAAAGATTTTATACAGAGATTTTATCTTTATATAAAAGATTAGATACAAGCTCCCAAATACTTTCAACATTTTTGGCCTTTGGAACAGAGTATATTGCTAAGAGGCCCAAGGACATGTTGACTTTTAGCCAAGAAGCTGGCTACTTTTCTTTGGAGTCTTTTCACCCTAACTGCCTAGCCAATTCCTACCTCCTACTCTTATCACACCATCCTCTCAAGGGATTACCCGAATTACCAATAAGGGATCGGGACGCAGACCGCTCTGGCTTCTTCCATTGAGGCAGTTGGAGTACCCCTTCAGTGGGTCTATCTAAAAGACTCCCAAATTGCATAACTCTTGTCTCTAAGGGGAAAAGAAAGTCCTTGAATCATGAATAGGAGATGTGAAAGATAAGTAAAGGTAAGAGTAATTAACATTACAAGTTCTAGCCAGAGAACTAGAAAAAAGTCAGAACAGGGCAATTTTCAAATGTTCATATGAGAGTCCATTGGAATTTCTTGACAAGGGCTTCCAAAAGCATCCCTCAGTTGGGTTCCTCCTCATTTTTCTTTTGTCTTCCAAGGCTGGACACTAGAGTGATGGCTTCAGGGTTTGCTTTCAGGTCCATCTTCCAATCTCTTATATCTGCCCCCCCCCAAATATTTAGCAAAGCATCCTCTAAGTCTCTGATGTTTCTAGAAACATCTTTAGGTCTTCTTCAATCAACATAGGAAGGGCAGCTGGATCAGAGTACACAAGGAAAATTCTATGGCTTTGCCTCCAGGGACCCACCTCCTACCTGTGTCTCTACAGATATGTCTTAGCCTCAGAAAGACTTTGGGTCTGAGGGCCTTGACAGAGGCAGAAGATAGGCTCAGGGGATGTCCATCACAATTTGAGGGCTCCTGAGTTTGAGGAGTTCCTCTGAGGGCAGAACCTCTGTATTTCCTGCCTTCCTGAGCCTAGATAACACTCATGAGCTGGTTCAGACCCCTGGTAAGGACCTAGCTGAGTGGGGAACTGGAGACGCTGGAAGTCAGAAGTGTTCAGCAATTTATGGCAGTGGGCGTCTGACATGTAGACCCTCAGGCCTTGACAGGTAGCTCCCAGAAGGTGACAATGCCAGCTTGGCCTCTCTTCCTCTTCCATGCTTCTGTATGCAGTTCACTACAGGAAATGGCCACATCTCCCAGGATCCACTCTGTCCTCTGACCCAACGATTTTTCAAGTTCTTGGAGGACACCCTCATGTCCATCAGAATGACCCCATGGTCCCTCTGAGACCCTAGCCCACATTCCTATGGTGTCATCAGCCCCCGGTGCCAGGCTCCTGTGGGTGGAAGGGGCAATGATTATAGACAAGGACAGAAGGGAATCACATCAGGGTCCTTCTGTGCTTTGGGTGCTGGTCTGCAGAGGAGTCTAGCCCCTGGGACTGGCACTGTATTTATCTCTTTCCAAATGTCCAGTTTATAGCCTGTGCTCTTCAGTTACAAAGCACGCTTTTAAGTTTGGCATACCCTCATGGTTCGCCCTGCCTGCCTGAGCGGCAGTGAACTTACACTGACCATCAGTTCGCATCAGCCCCAGTGAAAGACGTGTGGTCACAAGATGCACCTCTGGAGTGCAGCTGTTGCACCCTGTACCCACATCCTGTGGAAGAAGGATAAATGGGGCCCAAGGGGCCTCCAGTGGAGGAGAGAGAGTAAAGTATAGCTGCTCCCTGCCATCAGAACCTCCTGGCCCCCAAAACTGGTGTCTGGGGCCTGAGATCTCTGTGTTCCCCAACTGTCCCAGGATGCTGTGGCTGCTGTTCCTCATCCTCCCTGGTGAGTCTCTTACCCTGAATCCTCAGGCTGCCACAGGCTTTGATCTCTACCTCAGATCCCTATCCCTGCCCCCAGTGCTTAAAGAGCTATCCCTTGGGTTATATGGGGACTATTCATCTGCCAGGAATCTTACTGGATCCCAAGTCCTGGGAACCTCCTCCTGGTGCCCAGAAAGTTCCTTCATTTGCTTCCCTAGACTTTGGCTCAGGACAGGAGTTGGGCATTGTCGGAGGCTGCCCTGTCTCAGGCAGGCGGTCCGCATGGCAGGTCAGCTTGAGGTTCTACAACATGAAGCACAGCCTGTGGGAACATATCTGTGGGGGCTCTCTCATCCACCCTCAGTGGGTGCTGACTGCCGCCCACTGTGTGCAGCCGTGAGTGGGGTCCACCCGTTCCCTTAGCTGGAATCAGGTGGGCACTGGGAGGAGGGTTGTACTCAGTGGACATGTTCCCCAGTGGGAGGCAGGACTTCCTAATCCCTGTGGCTGTTCTGAACTGGAGTCTCCTCACCCTTCAGCCTCCCTGAGGGGCTCATGGTCCTGTCCTTCAGGAAAGAACTGGAAGCTTGTGGCTTTAGGGTCCAGCTTGGGCAGCTGAGCCTCTATGAAAATGACCAGCTGATGAAAGTGGTCGAGATCATCCGCCACCCTAGGTACAAGGAGAGCCTGTCTGCTGAGGGGGGTGCAGACATTGCTCTGCTGAGACTGGAAACCCCTGCAATACTATCTGAGCACATCCAGCTGGTCTCCCTCCCCACTGCCTCCGAGATGGTCTCCCCGAGGAAGATCTGCTGGGTAGCTGGCTGGGGCGTCATTGAGGACCACAGTGAGTACTGGGGAGACCTCATGTTCATACTAGCAGAAAGAGGTAGAAGTCCCCATCTTTGATTCTCACTGGCTTCTCTCCACAGTGCCCCTTCCCCCGCCCTACCACCTTCGGGAAGTGATAGTCCCCATCTTGTGGAACAAAGACTGTGACCGGAAGTACCACAAAAACTCCTCTTTGGATAGAAACACTAAGATCATTAAGGATGACATGCTATGTGCCGGGACGGAAGGTCGGGACGCCTGCCAGGTAATAGCCTGATCTGCCTTCTCTCTCTGTCCCTTCCTGGCTTAGGGTACTGGGATTCACCAACCCTGGTGTGATGGGACAACTGGAGTACTGATTCCTGCTTCTCCCCATAGGGCGACTCTGGAGGCCCCTTGGTCTGCAGGTGGAACTGCTCCTGGGTCCAGGTGGGTGTGGTTAGCTGGGGCAGAGGCTGTGGCCTTCTTGATCTCCCTGGGGTATATACTCGTGTGAGGAGCTACATGCCTTGGATCCACCGCTATGTCCCCATATTCCCTCAACCCTCGACAGGGCCAAGTGGGGTTCACACAACAGAGGAGATCTCAGCTTCCTCTGTTGGTTCCCTTACTCCTTCACCTAATTCAGCCTTGTCCTTCTAAATGTCCCCACCCTACAGCAGTGAGACTCCCTTACTCTCTTGGCCTGGAGTCTCTGGTATCTCTTAACTCTGGGTGGGAAGGGCTGAAGCCCTAGATCTCTCAGAAGTAGGTGGGTAGCCCAGATACCCTCCTCATTCTGTTTCCCATTAAATGATAGATTGTCTAACTGATGTTTGTTTGAACTTTGTTTTTTAAATTTTATCTTTATTTATATTTTGTGTTTTGGATTGGGTCTCCCTGTAGGCCCAGCTGGCCTGGAACTCACTTTGTAGACCAGGCTGGACTCGATTTCACAGATCCACCTGCCTCTGCCTCCTGAGTGCTGAGATTAAAGGCAGTGTGCACTGCCATGTCTGGCACTCTGTTTGATTTTTGAACCCAGAGCTGGATACTGAGTAGGGGCTGAGCTGGTAGTGGGTGCCAAGGTTGGTGCTGCTGAGGCCCTGGTGCTATAAAGAGGAGGGGCTCACAGTCATTTGGTCAGTCTACAATACTCTGTTGAGTCCATCCAAGGTCAGACTCCTCCAGCATGGATGGTCCCAGGCTGCTCCCACATCCCTGTTTGGGTCCCAGGAATTGTAGTCAGAGCTCAGATTTGGGGGAACCCCCAGATACTTTAGACCTCATTCGGGGGTTTCAGAATGCCCTTTCTGAGCCTATGTGGTCATTTAAATTCTGAAGTCTTGAGTCCCTTCCCTCTCTGGGATGGCTCCTTCCTTCTTTTTCCCTCCCTCTCTTCCTTCCTTCCTTCCTTCCTTCCTTCCTTCCTTCCTTCCTTCCTTCCTTCCTTCCTTCTTTCCTTCCTTCTTTCATTCCTTGTTTTCTTTCTTATGTGTAGTGGTAGTGGTGGTGGTGGTGGTGGTGGTGGTGTATATGCACACACATGTGCATGTGCACATTGTGTGTGTATGTAGAGGCCAGATGTTGATGTCAGGCATCTTCCTTGAATACTCTGTATTTACTGAGGCAGGATCTCTGGCTGAGTCTGGAAATTGCCCATTTAGCTAGTCTAGCTAGCCAGGTTGCTTTAGAAAGTGATTGTAACAGGGATGCCAAAGAGCTCCCTTGTCTATCCAACACCTGAGAACACAGGAGAAGGCACAGCCTATGATCTATCAGTCAGGTTCTCTCCCAAACCTTCCTGTAAGCACCTAGCCCCAGACTTCCAGCTCCAAACCACCAGATTGAAACCCCCAGTTTGTGTAAGTCACCTCATCCATGGTACTGGGGTGGAGTAGCCCCAGGGACTGAACTGCAATGCAGCAGGTACATGACCTTTCCAGCCTGAGCCAAAGTCTCTGAGCTACAGGTTGGGGCAGGAGTGAGTGAAGCTGGTCACCAAGGACCATGTAGTCTGAGCTCCCATGAAAAGGAAATTCACAGAGACAGAAAGTGGATTGATGGTCACCAAGGGCTGGGGAGGGGAGCCGGGGGGGAGATGAGGACTAAAAGGCACAAGTGTCTTTTCAGCATGAGGAAAAATGCTCTAAAATTGAGTGTGGGGATGGCTGAACCCCCAGGCACTGACTGAAACCTGTGAGCTACACTTTTTTTTTTTTTTTTTTGGTTTTTTTGAGACAGGGTCTCCCTGTAGCTCCAGCTGCCTTGGAGCTCACTATGTAGACCAGGTTGGCCTTGAACTCACAGAGATCTGCCTGCCTCTGCCTCCCGAGTGCTGGGATTAAAGGTGTGCGCCACCACACCCAACTTTTTTTTTAAATCTTGTTTTTGTACTCTGTAGTTCAGGCGAACCTTGAACTCTAGGCAATCCTCCTGCTTCAGCCTCCCAAGTGCTGGGATTAAAGGCATTGCAGGACTCTTTGTAGGTGAATTGTATAAAGTGTAAATCACATATCAATAAAGCTGCTAAAAAATAAACAATTTTTACATTTGATTACTATTATTATTATTACTACTACTACTGCTATTATTATTATTATTATTATTATTATTATTATTGTGTGTGTGCACGCATATGTGCATGCTATAGCATGTGTATGGAGGACAGAGGAAAAACTTTCAGAAATTGGTTTTCTCTTTTCACTATGAGGGTTCCAGGAACTGAACTCAGGTTCTCAGGCTTGACAATAAACGTCTTTACCTGCTGAACCATCTTGCTGGCCCCAAACAAACACCTTAAAAAAAAAGTCCAGGGGCTGGAGAGAGATGGCTCAGGGATTAAGAGCACTGACTGCTCTTGCAGAGGAGCCGGGGTCGATTCCCAGCACCCACATGGCAGCTACGAACCATCCTTAACTCCAGTTCCAGAGGCCTCTGAAGCCCTTTTCTGACCTCCACAGCACCGCATGAAATGGGTGCACTCACATACATGCAGGCAATACACTCATACACATACAATAAAAATAATAAAATATTTAAAAAAAAAGCCCAGGATTCTCATTTCTTAGATTCATTTGAAGCTCTAAAACCAGACCCAAGTCCCTAGAACAGCTGCTGGGATACCTGTGTCCACAAACAGTGGGGGGCCTCTGGGACACCCCTCTCTGTAGGGCTCTGAGGAAGTTAGAGTTGTAGTGGGCCACACTGGGCATTTGCTGAGTTTATAGAATGGTCATTTGGGGGGTCCTGACAGGTGGGGCTTTCAGGTTTGGCCAGGGACACATGACCAGGTTCAATACGAAAGACTTGGTGTTTAGGGGCACTGATCATGCCTTGAGGTGGGTATGGGGCTCACTGCCAGAGGCCAGCAGCTATCAGAGACAGTCACAGGAGGAGGCAGGGACACTGTGGAGAGCCCCTGGCACCTCTCTGGTCAGAGCCCAGCAGGAACCTGTTCTCAGAATCCTGAAACCCACCAGGGCCATGCACTTACTTCTCTTGATCTAGGAGAGCCCTCATAACCTAAACCACAGAAACCCCTCAGATCTCACAGGTTGTTGGTGCTTGGGTCCTGGGATGACTGCCCAGGAGTCTAGGAAGCCCTCTATCCAGGCAGAGTTGGGTGTTGGTGGTTCCATGTAGAGAATGCAGCTGTTCCCTTCTAGTACTGGGTACTAGGCCCCACCTCCACTAGTGATTCTGACCCTTCCCTGCCTAGGGGATTTTGTACCTGAGCCCTTCCATTATTCCTGACCCCACCTGATATTCTCACTGACCTGGGACCCATTTCCTGACCCCAGGTCTATGCTGTCTTTAGGTAGGGTAAGGTAACAGGGTGACTCCCATACAGTATGGCCCATTTCATTTTGGGCAGGGCCTCCTGGGCACTGGATTGTTCTTTGCTTCCTAGATCCCAGACCAGGGGCTGAGTGTGTGAAATCATGAGGGGCCGTGATAACCTCAGAGAGGAGACCCTTGCAAGTCAGCCGAAGGAACCTCCAAAGAATATGACCATCAGGAACACAAAATTAGGTGCCTCCATGGTCACCCTTTTTGGTCCTGGATGCTGCTTATAGAGAGCTCTGAGCAAGTCACCCAGTCATCCTCTTGGTAAGGTGATGCAGAGGCAATCAGAGGACCTGGACAAATGGAGTCAATGTCCTAAACTGGGGCTGCAGAGGTTGCACTGAGCTCTGCTGCAGATATCAGGGTATTGATACCCCTATTCTCACCCAGCTACATGGGAAACATGATCTGACATTTTTCCCGTAGTTGAGCAGCAGATACAGTGAAGTCCTAGCCTCTTCCAACACCCATGTTTCTGTCCCTGGACAGCCTGTCCCACTCACTACCTGCTATAACCCTCTGTGGTTGGCCTTGTAGATTCCTAGCTGCCCTACGGGTACCTCAAGGTGGGAGGGCTTCCAGAAAATATCCTCCTAGCCTCCCCAATCTATTCAAGTACTTTTGATACTCTAGAAAACTCCCCAGGCACCAGAGATAAGCAGTCATGTGTCTACAGCAGCTGGCAGCCCAGGCCCAGAGCAGAGGGGAGCCATCCCTTGTCTAGATCGACAATGATGGTGGGATGATCATACATGGAGCTCAGTCTGTGAGGCAAGTTGGAACAGCATAACTCAGTTACCTAACAGGTCCTCTTGTAACACTGCAGCTGGAGCTGGACCCAGGGATGCTACAGGGGTACCTTAATGACCAGCAGGTTGACAGTGTTCTGAGTTCACACAGGTCACAGCAGAGGATTAAAATGGGCCTGAGGTCCTGGCAAGGGCCAAGGGTAGACTGTGGATGTTTAGCCTACCTCACTGACTATGAACTTGTCATCTCATGCCAGACACAGAGGGCCCCATGACAGTGACAGCCAAGGCTCACCACTGTTTTTCCCTCCCTGCTCATAGTGGATACAGGCCTAGTGAGAATCTTTGTACCCTTTCCTGTTTACCCCAACATTAGAACACTCACCTGAGTTCAAACAACCTTTAGCCAGATCCCATGGGGTGAGGGTTTCAGGAAACCTCTATCTTATTTTCATTCTGTTAAGCACCCCAGGATCCACCTGTTCCCCATTTCCACCACAAGTGCTCATGATACTCGGGTGCCTGAACTTGGTTCTGGGAGCATGGCTGGAAGAGGAGTTAGAGGGTGTGACTGTCCTCTGTGCAGATGCACACCCAGCTGTTATGTCAGTCCCAGACCTGGTCTCCCTGCAGAAATGGCCTCCATGTACTGTCCTCTGTTGTGTACGCATATGCACGTGTGTGTTTTTGTGTATACGTGTACGTGTGTGGCTGTACATGTGTGCTGTGTATACGTATACGTATATGTGTGCTGGCACTCAGTTACATGAATTGAGACAGTTACAGCATTTGCAATAAAAATGAAATGCATGGTGATGCATGCCTGTGATCCCAGCACTTGAGAGGAGAGGCAAGAGAATTAGGAGTTCAAGGTCATCCTTAGCTACAAAGAGAATCCAAGGCTAGTCTGGGCTAATTGAGACCTTGACTCAAAAAACAAAAATACCATAACAGTAACAAAAAAGTTCTAGGACTGGCAATTTAGTTCAGTGGCAAGCATTTGCTTAGCACAAAGAGGTTCTGAACCCAGTCCCCAGAACTGTAAAGCAAACAAACAAAAAATCC